AGTTAATAATATATTATTAACATCTGATAAGAGTATAATTAATAGTGGTGATTTAATTAATTTTAAAACCTATTTAAGAGATTCACAAAATTCAACACTCTCCACCAAAGCAAGTGTTTCATTGAGAATTGAAAATGGAATTTCACCACTTGTTTTATATAATATTGATAGTGGTAGATCGTATTTTTCTGAGGGTGGAATTGGTGATTTTAGTGGTGCTATTATAAAATCAAAACAAAATCAAACTGTTACATTGTTAGCTAAATATGTACAGAGTGGTAAATTTTTAGAATCTAGATTGAATGTTAATGTGATGGGTGATCCTACTTTTAATAGTGCTAATACATTGATGAGTGGTGGTGGTTTTGGTGGTTTATTTTTGATTTTAATTATTAGTTTTATTGCTTTTTAATTTCTAATTATGGAAATTTACAATAAATTATATTCAAAATTGTTAATATTTTAATAACATAATAGAAAACAGTCACTAAATTGGTGTGGGAAAAATTTAAAATATAAATTTAGAAAGAATTATTAAAAAATATTTCAAATTCTAAAAATATAAATTTAAAAAAATAAGGCCTTAAAAGAGGATGGTTTCATTCAGATATATTTGAAAAATCTCAAATGTTACTAAATGGAGTAGGTGGATTTCAATCTTTTTGTTTTGGTTATACAAATCAATCCAATGCTCCATCTTTAAATAATTTTAAAAAGGGAAGAGATGAAAATTTTAATAGTGATGATGATGAAGATGAACAGAATGATGAAATGAATAGAGAAGATGATATTTATTTTAATAATGGTAAAACTAATTTGGAAAAGTTACAAGAGGATAATTATTCAACTGAAGAAGAAGAATTTTAATTTTTATAATTTTTAAATTACTTTCTAATAGAACCAATCATTGGAATGAAATAATTCAATTTCACCTGCAAAACCAACAAAAACTTCCTTATTATTTAAATTTAATCTGACACTTGTCATTGCAGGTTGTAATTTTTCAGCCATAATATCTTCTGTATCAGTTGAAGTGTCAATTACCTTTTTAGTTTCATCTGAACCTAATCCCCAATAAAATTTAATGAATGAATCACCACCACTACTACATGGTCTTAATTATTGAATTCCATTCTTGAAATTCAATTCCAATTCTACATAATAACTTATTACCATACCAATATCCATTTTCATAATGAATTGCAGTTGGAATATAACCTTTAAATTCCATTCTTTCTAATTTACCACCACATGTACCATACTTTTCACCTTCTCTAACATATTCTAATTGACCATTCTCTTGATTAATTTTACCATAAATAGGTTGAATTGAATCAATAATATGACCAGTCCATAAATTTAATCCAATTAAAATACAATTAGCATCATATTCTTTAAATTCAATATTAAAAGGAATATTTGATTCATTCATTGATGAAACATGTTGATTAGTAATTGAAATTTGAGAATGTGGATTTGATGATTTTTCAATTTGATCATATTCATATGAAATTCTAAATTCTTGTTGAATTTGTTCAATAGCAGAATGTGAAACATTCATTCTCCATCTTTTAGTAAATAGAAGTGTTAAATTCTTTTGTGCTGCTTTTGAACATGAAATGAACCAATTATCTAAAACTTGTTGTGGATTTAAAGGTTGTTGTGTTAATTTCTTTGCAATTTTAAATATTCTTTGAACAAAAGATAAACCACCAAATCTAATTGACATGTAATGCATAAAACCAGCCCATAATTCACATCCATAATGTTCAGCAAAATCAGCACCTCTTTTTAATTGTAAAGTATTTTCCCAATTAGCTTGATTATTTAATTCATAATTTGTAACATGTTGTAATATTTTTAAATTATGAACTGAAAATGGTTGACCTGAATAAAAACCGCCACTAATATTACAATATTTCATTGCCCATATTTGCATAAAAATAGCATAACCATCAATAAAACTACTATTACATTTAGTTTCTTGACATGTTAATGAATTACTTGTTAACCACCAATTTCTACCAAATTCATAAAATAAAACATGATAAAAGTTTTCATTTAAACCATATTTAACATTTTTAAATGTTGTTTCAAAAAAGGCAGGTCCAATTTCAACTCCAAATCCACCTACAATACCTAATCCACCTGCTCCATTTGAAACAACACATACTGTTACTCTACCTTCCATCATATAGGATGTATTTGAAGGTTTATCACCATTTTCAAAACATGATTGATAAAATTCAAAACATTTATCATATATTGATACTATTAAATCAATGGAATTTAAATCTGTTAAGGCTAATTGATGATTAGCTTCATCTAATAATAATACAATATACTCTCCAAAATATGGATAGACTTGAAATGGAGGTTGATTAAATGAATTAAATGTAATACTTGATGTTGGATGTGTTACCATTTTAATATTTTAAATTATATAATAAATTGAAAGACAGATATTTAAAGCCTTTGTTTGCTGATGAAAATAAAAGTAAGGTGAGGCAATCAATAAGAGGATTGGAGTTTTTTTTTTAAAAAATATATTACGGTAGTGGGGGTTGATGTTATTGAGGATGAACTTGTTTTTCTGGAGAGACAATATGAACTTTTTCTCTGCAGCTTCTCTCTGAGCAATGAATTACAACCAACAAACACATTTAAAATTGTAAATTCTTTTGAAATTAAATCAAAATTAATGAATACATTAAAATGAAATCTGAATATTCTTCTGTCATTGAATATAATGAAATTAACAATTTAAATTCAAATGAAAAGGCCAATTTACTGAAGATTTATGAAATTCAAATCGCCATTGACATCCAAATAATCATATAAACAATCAAATGTCAATAAAAAAATGCAAAGACATAATACGAGTGGTAAAGTTGGAGGTCTTTTAGCAGCATGGGAAAAAAGAACTGAAGAATCAACTTCATCAACTAGTCAAAGTTTTAGAAAATCATCATCAACAAATATGAATCAACAACAACAACATTCAATTAAATTATGTATTGTTGGTAATTCTACATCAGGTAAAACATCACTTGCTTTATCTTTTAAAGAAGATGATAGAGATTTACCACATACTACTTTAGATGAATTTAATTTAAAAAGTTTGTATTTTAATAATATAACATAATATTATAATAATTTAATGATATATAATAATTTAATATTATGATGATGATAATGATGATATCCTATTGACAATAATATTATTTTACATCAATCACCAATCAATCAAATAATATCATAATAATTAAATATAATATAATATAATAATATAATAATAATAGCAATGTATCAAGGTAAAGAATTAACATTAACAATATGTGATAGTAAAGGAAGTGATGATTATGATAGATATCGTACCAAATTAACATATCCTAATACTAATGTATTTATAATATGTTATTCAATTGTTAGTAAACAACAATATGAAAGTGTAAAATTGAAATGGATACCTGAAATTAGAATGTTATGTCCAAATGCATTAATTATTCTATGTGCAACAAAGACTGATTTACGTGACGATCACAGATATATTTCATCAGGTTTATTAATTGATAGAGTTCAAGTTAAAAAATTAATGGATTTATATAATCATGATCAACAATATCCAATCATGTTTTATAATGAATGTTCTATTTATGATCAAAATGTTGGTGTTAAAGATATTTTAGATAGAGCTATACAATTATCTTTACATAGACAATTAAATAATATTATTAATAATAATAATTTAAATCATTTAGATAATAATAATAATACTAATATTAATAGTAATAGTAATAATAATAATGATAAAAAGAAAAAGTAATTATTATTAAATAGTGTATTAAATTCAAATTGTATTATTATTATTTATTATTTTTGAATATAGAAATTATTGTAATATGATTATAAATAAATTTGTAAATTATTGTAAACAATAGATCCATTATTATTATATTGTACAAATAAATATATTTTGGAAGGTTCAATTAGATATTTTCTAAAATATTTTGAGCTGTTCATCATGTTCATTCCGTTGAGGAGTAACAACACTTTGTGTTTACAGGAGTTATTGTTGTTATCAAATTGCATTCAAGCATCACATTAAATATTATCCAATTGAATAGACGATGGTTAGTGAAATGACCTTTGATTCTAATCATCTTTAAAAAAAACTAATTACTTGTCACAGGTTGAAATAATCATGATCATGATTAAACAATCAAATTCATTGTTATTCATTCTATTATTATTATTAATAGTAGTAGTATCATTATCATGTATTATTAATGCTGCATCTATTAAAACTACAATAACAACAACAACAATTGAATCATCAAATGATAAAATTAATAATTTAATTCATCAATTAAAATTATCAAATATTAAATCTTTAAAACAATCTAATCATCAACAACAACATAATGAACAACAACAACATAGTAATGATGCTAATAGTAATGCTAATGTTAATGTTAATGAACAAACATTTCTATTCAATGTGAATGGATTAGGTACATTGAGAGGTGTACAATCATTCATTGATAATTATAAATCATTTAAAACTATACCATATGCTAAAGCACCAATTGGTGAATTACGTTGGTCAGATCCACAACCACAACCATTACCATTTGTAGATATATTAGATACTACTCAATTTGGTCCAATGTGTCCTCAAAATTGTTTACTTCCACATGGTTTATGTGCTCAAAATCAAAGTGAAGATTGTTTATCTTTAAATATTTTCACTCCTTTTAATATTAGTACTACTACTACTAATAGTAGTAATAATTTAAAACCAGTAATGGTCTTTTTCCCAGGTGGTCATTTCGATCAGTAGGTTTCATTTGTTTTTTTTTATTGTTATTTAACATAATACTTTATATTAACACAATCTCTCTATCCTACCACCACCATCACAACAACCAACAACAAAATACTTGTTACATTTTACTAAATAATTTATGTATTGACCTCCTCCATCTTATCACCACACAAATATATATATTAAAATGGTCCATACATAACTACCCACCTCAAATCATCATCTTTATTACATATCATTACTAATATAAATAATATATTTAATATATTTAATATAAAATATATAAAATATATATAAATATAAAATATATAAAATATAAAATATAAAAACACATATATATAAAAACATATATAAACATTAGAGGACAGCTAAT